CCTTACCATTGTGTTGTGAGGTGTGTATTACACAAGGGTACCTCACCATTGTGTTGTGAGGTGTGTCATACTCAAGGAAAACTCACCATTGTGTTGTGTGGTGTGTCATACACAAGGGTAACTCATCATTATTTTGTGTGGTGTGTCATACACAAGGGTAACTCACCATTATTTTGTGTGGTGTGTCATACACAAGGGTACCTCACCATTATGTTGTGTGGTGTGTCATACACAAGGGTAACTGATCATTGTGTTGTGTGGTGTGTCATACACATGGGTAACTCACCATTGTGTTGTGTGGTGTGTCATACTCAAGGGTAACTCACCATTGTGTTGTGTGGTGTGTCATATATGTTGTGTGGTGTGTCATACACAAGGGTAACTCACCATTGTGTTGTGTGGTGTGTCATACACAAGGGTAACTCACCATTGTGTTGTGTGGTGTGTCATACTCATGGGTAACTCACCCTCATACACCATGGGTTCACCATTGTGTTGTGTGGTGTGTCATATCAAACCATTATGTTGTGGGTGCTAACTTACCATTGTGTTGTGTGGTGTGTCATACACAAGGGTAACTCACCATTGTGTTGTGTGGTGTGTCATACACAAGGGTAACTCACCATTGTGTTGTGTGGTGTGTCATACACAAGGGTAACTCACCATTGTGTTGTGTGGTGTGTCATACACAAGGGTAACTCACCATTGTGTTGTGTGGTGTGTCATACACAAGGGTAACTCACCATTGTGTTGTGTCGTGAGTCATACACAAGGGTAACTGATCATTGTGTTGTGTGATGCATACACAAGGGTAACTCAACATTGTTTTGTGTGGTGTGTCATACACAAGGGTAACTCACCATTGTGTTGTTTGGTGTGTCATACTCAAGAGTAACTCACCTCTGTGTTGTGTAGTAAGTCAAACTCACAGATAACTCACCATTGTGTTGTGTGGTGTGTCATACTCAAGGGTACCTCACCATTGTGTTGTGTGTCATTACACGAGACTACCTTACCATTGTGTTGTGAGGTATGTCATACTCAAGGGTTACTCACCATTGTGGTGTGTCATACTCAAAGGTATCTCACCATTGTGTATCGTGTGGTGTGTCATACACAAGGGTACCTTACCATTGCATTGTGTGGTGTGTCATACTCAAAGGTAACTCACCATTGTGTTGTGTCATACACAAGGGTAACTCACCATTGTGTTGTGTGGTGTGTCATACAGATGGGTACCTCACCATTGTGTTGTAAGGTGTGTCCTACACGATGATTTCAAAATAATGATTTGAATGTAAAAGGTTCCAAAAATATTTATTTTTTTCACTATTTTACATTCATTGTCAAGGTCTTGTCCTCGACGATCCATAAAATGTAGTGGTTCTTTTCTAAAGCAGCAAGTAATACCAGTGCCTTCCTGTCTTTTAATTCTGACCTAATTAGAATAAAATAACCAAACCAGACATATTCTTCTGCCTGAGATTTAGTTCTATTTCAACAAAGTGCACATTATGTCTATTTTAATCTGGCATTCACTTTTATAATGAGAATCTGCATACATGTATAAATTCATTTCTCATTACCAGCATCGTCTGACTTGACACTCATAGAACAAGTCTTGCAAGTTCCAATAGCTCGAAGAAACTCAATTTCATTCTAGCAAATTGTTCCTTCAAACATCAGATTAATTTCAGCAAATGGTCACATCTTCAATCAGTCCTCTAACCAGGGACAACCAAAACATACCACAACGATCATGGATTCAACAATATTATAGCAGCCAAGTTTACCAATTCAGTTGTGAGGAACGCATCAAGAAGATGAAAGCGACAGTGATTGTAAGAAAGGGAGAAAAATCCATAGCAGCCGGGCAATTGGGTTCCGTTATGTAAGGCTCTCAACTGATGGCTATATTGGGACAGAAAACAACAAGGCTGTAGCAGAGGGAAGCTGGTTTGAGTATGTCCTGAGAAATGCTTCCTCCTAGAGGCTGAAATGAAATTATTGCTTTCTCTGCATTGGGAATATAAAATATTGTTCTTGATGACAATGTCACCCATTGATTTCAAGTGTCAATATTGTCAGTACTAAGTCACACTTGAAGAGCTGATCTAGGGCTTAGCTCATCCCATACTGGTCGCTTAGCTTTAACCAATCATGGAAGCGAGATATGCCTGCTTGGAGGAAAGGCCACTAAGTCGTAAAACATACTCCTTAAAAATACAGGATGGACGCATGGAGGAAGGTATTTTCAGCAGTAACATTATACTGTCTCATTTATTTTGGGTCATCTTCAGAAGTTACAATGAAAAAATAAATCAAGCAATTAAGAAGTAATGTTCTGTCTTCTGAATGTGTTTTTATCTGTAGCACCAATTAACTAGATTACTTCATGGGGCAAACTCAGTTTAAATCTTCTTGTCGTTGGGTGATAAGTCAATGCGATGATCACTTGTGTCTTATGCAGTCAGAGCTGAACAGCCACTTTCATATGGAGGCCAACAGAGGATGAATGCCAGCAATATTACAGCTGTATCATCAAGGTCTGTAAACGACATGGTCTGGGACTGACAATATGGCTGACAGTCTGTAAACAACATTATTATTATATTATTATATTATAATATATTTATATAGCGCACATATCCACGCAACTGGTGCATGCTGAGGGAACTGGTATTTTCCCCTCGATCATTGGATGTCAATCTCAACGGCACATCGTATTATCAATCTCAACTCCCTGGGGAGTATACAACTCTTGCTACTACTGGGCGCACCAAGTTATTGTGGCTTTCTCATTCTTACGAGGTACCCATTCACAGTTGGGTGGACTCAGGGACACATAGTCACAGTACTTTGTCCAAGTTTACTGCACGTTGCTGTACCCGCAACTAGGTGTTTGCACGTATTCATGTGGCCACCATCTGGTCATCTACCAATGGATTCGTGGGTTCTTTTAAGTGCACAGGGGTTGTGACAACACTGAAAGAGTCTGCACACAAAGTTGACTCCAAGGTTTTTACACCCGGTCACAGGTGGGCTCGATCTCGGCACCTCAACCTCGCTGGATCACTAGCCTGGTGCTTTAGCCAGTTTGGGCACACACACCTCAACCACGCTGGATCACTAGCCTGACGCCTTAGCCAGCTCGCCCACTGCACACACCCACACACACATGGCATGGGACTAACAAAGGTATTAAAATTAAGCAACATCTCTGAGGCATGTTCACAGAACAGGGCAATACAGCTGATCGCCATTAGTTATAGTCCATTTGATATCATTTGAGAACGATGAATTGCTCACTAACACAAAATGTAATAATTGCAACAAAACCAAATTTTGCTCACTCACATGGAATCAACAGACCAACTGTGATGATTTGTCTCATAATTTTAATAATGCGACATCATCAGAGTTGGTCTGTCGATTTCATGAGACTGTGCAAAGTTCGATTTTGATGCATTTATTAGATTAACAATTAGTGAGCAATTCATCGGTCTGAAATGAAGTCAAACAGACTAAAGCTATCATGGCCATGGGGTACTGGCCCTCAGGTGTGTGTCAATAGTTTGATGATTGGTGTTCCAGTTGTTGTTGAATGTACGACATCCTGGAATTCAAATTTGGTAAGAAAATAAACATGTTCAAATTTCAACCGTACTGACTTTATCTACAATACCTACAGGATGTACAGGTAATCAGGTGGGTGACAGACCCTTACAACAGCCATCTGGGGGTGGGGTACTCTATTCTCACCTCCTAGTCCCCTTTAGGACTGACAGATAGCTGGAGTGGGTGAAAGGAAGAGGATGGTGGTACAGCAAATATTGATGAGAAGATTACCTTCACCAGGAACCTACAACTGCTTTGCATGTACATGTAGTAGGAAGATACACAACTGTTGAGAGTTGGTCTGATTGACCTTCAGAGTTGTGTGGGGTAATGAGAAGCAACCATGAAATCATAAGAATAATAACTTAGTAAAACATGTACTTACAGTAAATATTTTGTAAAAACAATGTTTTTACAGAAATAGTTATTCACATTCTAGACTTCTGGAGTCTAACAGAGGTCTACCAGAAGATAAGATGCTAAACAAAGCTTTAGTTTGGGGTAAGATTGGGGTAATTATCTAATCATCTGAAGATGTAAATTGTTGATCTATACTTGGAAGTCAATATGTTCCTATCTGTAAGACTAATAAGAACATCTTGTTAGACTAGTCAATTTTTTTTATAAGTAAATTGGTAACCATGGTTACAGATAATTTCTTTTAAAAAACTCATTCCCTCTGACAAGAGAAAGAGCATAGCATTAAAAATCTATATAGCAAATTCTAAAGGTGCAAGTGTGCGCTCCAGACCATGCTGAGCTGCTGCCTTGTGTTAGGTATGTTTGCTCTCTGCTGATGTAAATGACATGGAACATCACTTATACCAATGACAACATCATATAAATGACAACCTTTAATCAAGCACCAGTGACATTAGTGACAATTAACCCAGTCATGCTGTTACCATGGAAACACAGCACACGTTTACACGATCCATGTCCACTCACATCAACATCAATGAATGAAAACGCAGGAGGCAAACACAACAGTTTAATGTTGATTATCCGCAGCTTTCAAAATCTGAGTGTTAAATGTGGTTCAAGTCGAAATTCAACGAGAGAGGTGCAAGAAAAGTCAGTCATGCAAATTCATCATTCTGGTTCCATTGAATTTCTTCAGCATTTCAGAGGCAATTTTAAACATGAGAAATCAATTTTCACTTACTTCTGAAAATGACAAAAGTTTGCATTCAATGTTTTTCTTGAACAACCTCAGAATGTGATAATAAAATATCATATGAGTACTGAGCTTGAGCTTGTGAGAGTTTCATTGTGAAAGAGAAAATCAAGGCAAAGAGATTGAAAGAAGGGATTTGGTATAGATTACAGCAAGTTAAACATGACACCAGAGAGGAGGAAGGAGGCACAACATCTCACTATACCTCCTCCGACTGGGGACCATCTGGGTTGTCGAGTGACGATGCCGCTAGTTTGGTCTGTCAACAAAGTAGTCACTTAGTCACAACTGACAACATCAGCCCCCTTAGTGGGCTTAAACCGTGAGTGCATCATTCAGCCATATTTGACATAATGCACAAACTCATTTGTCACCTGTAAGAAAGGTGTCCTTCAATCATAGGTCAATGTGACCTTTCAATCACAGGTCAATGTTACCTTTCAATCACAGGTCAATGTTACCTTTAAATCACAGGTCAATGTGACCTTTCAATCATACATCATTATCTTGCCTCACACATAAATGTTGTTTTCTGATTGGCTGAGCGTTCTATTATTTTCAATGTTCCCCGCTTACAAGCGAGTAACATTTTCTATGTACCCTGCTGGGAATGCCGAACTCATTTGGTACTTCGTAGTAGTAATTCTTTATCTCGAATAACATTGAATCACGTATGATGTACAGAAATTACTGATGTTTTGCGAATGCAAATCGATGGAAGGGAAATAACTCTAAATTATTTTTCTTGTCGTCTGGTACTCAATACTATGAACCAATACCTGTGCTTCAAACAGTTCAAAATTACCATTGAGGTGTTCGGTAAGATAAATACGTTCACTGGTCCCTTGGGGCCCATGGGTTGATGTACCCTCGATGTTTTTTACGGGCTCAGAGAACATAAACAAACATCAAGGGTACATCAGCCCATGTCCCCCTCAAGACCAGTGAACAACTTATAATGTTACCTTTCAACCATAGGTCAATGTGACTTCAATCACAGGTCAATGTGACCTTTCAATCACAGGTCAATGTTACCTTTCAACCATAGGTCAATGTTACCTTCCATTCACAGGTCAATGTGACCTTTCAATCACAGGTCAAAGTGACCTTTCAATCACAGGTCAATGTTACCTATCTATCAAAGGTCAATGTTACCTTTCAATCATAGGTCAATGTTACCTTTCAATCACAGGTCAATGTTACCTTTCAACCATAGGTCAATGTTACCTTCAATTCACAGGTCAATGTGACCTTTCAATCACAGGTCAATGTTACCTTTCAACCATAGGTCAATGTTACCTTCCATTCACAGGTCAATGTTACCTTTCTATCAAAGGTCAATGTTACCTTTCAATCACAGGTCAATGTTACCTTCCATTCACAGGTCAATGTTACCTTTCAATCACAGGTCAATGTTACCTTTCTATCAAAGGTAAATGTAACCTTTCTATCAAAGGTAAATGTAACCTTTCAATCATAGGTCAATGTTACTTTTCAATCACACATCAATGTTACCTTTCAATCACAGGTCAATGTTAACTTTCAATCACAGGTCAATGTTACCTTTCAATCACAGGTCAATGATATGACAGCTATGTCATCATCATCTCACAGGTTGGATTGTTTAGGTAAAATGTCAACCATTTCTTATAGATCACTATATTCAGGAAATGAATTGAAACAATGCTGCTGCTGCTGCTGCTGCTGCTGCTGCTGCTGCTGCTGCTGCTGCTGCTGCTATAACAATATGTACAGGGCTCCAAGTCCATATTTCGACTTAAAATTTAATAGCCAAAATTTAATGTTACTTGCCACATAGATTTTCAGTTATTGTTGATATATTTAACATATGTTCTATTTGGGATTACATTTTCTCAGTAAAGTAGAGATTCTAGTACTTTTTTTGGGTTGAGTCCCACCCGGGATTCGAACCCACACCTTCAGAGTTGATATATTGCCAGATTTACTCAGTTCCACTATAAGAGATAACTATTATTATACATTTTGTAAACAGTCCATTGTTTTTTACTATTGGATATCCACAACCTAAAGATTCTTGAGTTCGACTAAGTTCATAGATAATAAAAGTCATTGAATGAAGGCATGAATGCAGTTTTAAAACAAATCTCCCTCAAATGACAAAACAGTCCCAACAGTTCACAGTTTCTTCTTTAAAATTTGAATCAAGAGTATGTTTCTTAACTTTAGCGTTTGCCCATCGCGACTTTTGCCGCTGACGTATCGTTTTGACAGATGCGACTGGCATAATGTTTTGTATGCGAAATGTAGGGATCGCATAACTAAGACAGAGCCCAGTTAATTGTTTATCGCACTAAGCATTAAGGGTATAGGTGAAACATTAGGAGCTACTCCCCTTGGACTCTAGCCAATCGGTACGTCTCTAATTGCTAAACAATTAATCAATACATTTTTAGATAAATCAAGTTGAAATCATTTATGATGAAAACTGGAAAAACTACCTTAATCTAATTAAATTTTTACCTCACTCGCCAAAGGCAAAGGGTTTCATATTATTTTGCTGCATTTCTCAAATTTTACTCGCAGAGGCGACCAATTTACTCTCGAGTTGGAGCCATGATGTATGTTCAGTGATCATGAATATTGATCAACCTGTATGGGACCAACCTTATAGAACTTTCTCACACAGCGCGCCAACACTTCAGCTGATGTGATCTTTTGTGAATTGTTTTCAACCGAAAAGCAATAAAGTAACAGAAGTCACTGATGTTAAAATGTTTATCAGATTGATGTGAACGAGATAAATGCCTTTCCTTTACTGTACAGTACTGCAGTTTATAGACTTCTATCGTCATCACTGGTGAAGCAAAGCAGTGTCCACAGTACAGAGCTACAGATAACTTTTTGGGTCATTGAGTTATGTACTCTCTTGAATTCATTTCAATTGGGTATCCTAATTTTCCTTTAAGTAACCAAATAAATTGTACCCACCTCACTCGAACTCAATTGGGTATTTTGCCTTTTCCATGAATTGTAAAAATATAATAAAGTTTAAATGTTGGTTTACGTGTTTGTTATTTATATTTTGATCTGTAATATCTGAAACGATAAGAAACACTCAAGTTGCCTTGTTCATGTGTTGAAACAGAACCTCTCAATATACGTCAGTTATTTCATCTACCGTATATGTCCGACTATAAGTCGGGCCCCTTTCTCAACCCTCTAAATTCTTGTCAAAACCATGTAACTCAAGTATATTATAGTCGGCCCCTTTCCCCGTACGAATCGGTATCGCCGCCTCAATCTTCACGCTCGGACACGATGTTTAATGCGAAAATATATGCATGAAGTATTTTTGTCACAGGTCATAACCTAGCACGATACGTCAAATAAGTCCCATAATTTACGTATAGGTAGCGATTTCTTGCAAGCTAAGATTTGACATTTTTGTGTCCTAGCTTGTAAGATCAAATTTATTGAGTATTTACAAAAATTCAAGCGTACTTGTATGCAATAAACTTAATAGGAATTAAGTTTTCACATAAATATTTGCATAATTTATGCAGATACGGAGCTTATCTGTACCTCTGAGTGTATTCCATAAAGAGTAAGGGTAGCTCTGTAGCTCACTGTAGGAAACAGTCTGAATGTCAACAAAGTCTCTACACATTGGTTTCTCATATTCCATATGTTGTTTTATTAAAAAAGATAATAATAATTGATATAAATGAAGTTCATACACTTCAACAATCTTTCCTTCCCAAAATGAAAAAGTTTTTATCATTATTTGTGTAAATACATTTTACAGATACTTTGCATATTTTTAAGAAAATATTAGGGAGACAAACATTAATGCTTAGTTTTAGCAAAGCTGATTCCCTATATTCCAAGAAAAGGAGGTTGTTTTTGTGCCAGCAATACTGAAAACCGAATTGAACCTCTTAAAACAAATGTGATGTCTTCATTAGTTGGAACGTGTACTTCATCAATGTAATGTATTTATGGAAGTAGATGTTTACGACAGATGTCTCTTCACTAATCTCAGTCAACAGTGGCTGACCTAGATAATGTCAACAAAGAAAGCCACAGTTGGTAACAGTATTGATATTCAAGTATTTCTGCATTATACTGATGGTGATAAGCTGAGACAAAAATATCATGATCTGAACCAAATTTGACATTACCTTAAGTAAAAATGTAAACAACAAAGTTCAACTCCCTCAATCCATAAATATTTGGGGAGAATGCATTGACAGACCAAATATGCATTTTGAGAGAATTGAAGAGTGAATTGAGTAATAATCATAAATAATGGCTGCAAAGGTGGTCATATTGAAAACCTGTTTCATATCTTTTGAGTGAGTGAGTTTAGTTTCATGCTGCTTTTAGCATTATTTCAGCAATATCACACCAAAAATGGGCTTCACAAATTGTACCCATGTCGCGAATCGAGCCCAGGTCTTTGGCATGAGAAGCGAATGCTTTAATCACTAGGCAGCCTCACCGCCCCTCATACCTTTAGAACAAACTGAGGTATGAGTGAGTGAGTGAGTTTAGTTTTACGCCGCACTCAGCAATATTCCAGCTATATGGCGGTGGTCTGTAAATAACCGAGTCTGGACCAGACAATCCAGTGATCAACAGCATGAGCATCGATCTGCGCAATTGGAAACCAATGACGTGTCAACCAAGCCAACAAGCCTGACTACCCGATCCCGTTAGTTGCCTCTTACGACAAGCATGGGTTACTGAAGGTTCATTCTAACCCGGACCTTCACTGGTCAACTGACGTATGGTAACTGGTGGGAAGAAGCATGTGAAGTTCATGGAGATCATGGTTTCTGAGGAGTGAGTGAGTTGGGTTAAATGCCACTTGAACAGTACTCCAGTTATACCATGCCATGTTAGCTTAATATGGGAGGAATCCTGAAGTGAGGAATGACTTGGAAATTTATTGAACTGTTTTAGAGGCATTCTAGAAGTTGTATCTAATAGGAATGACAAGTCTTCATGGATGATCAACGTCGCCATTGTACAATAAAGAAGTTCATCAACCATAAAGACTTGTCATTCCTAGAAGTTTATTGTTTCCAAAGAGAAATGGCCACCACATAAGCTCACATAATTTTCATGCAAGCTAAAATGGATACAGCAATACACAGAAGAATCTTAATCATATTTGTACAGTTAAAATTGTCATAAGGATTTTATTACACACCTTGCAAACAGGTTCATTTTCATTTGGTTCCCTTACAAGGGGAACGTTAATGTCCTTGCCCTTCATTGGTTGCGACATGTTGTTGTTGCGACGTGTGGCAGGGGAGTTGAGGCGGAAAAATCTACCACAGCTGTCGGTGTTGATAGGCGGACATGCTCGACTCCTGCCGTCCCGGTGCTGACTACGGTAGTGATCCTTTAGCAGGTTCTCAGACTCTTCCTCAGATCTGTAATACATAAAGTGTGAGTGAGTGAGTGAGCGATTGTGTGTTTGAGTGGGTGAGTGAGTGTTTGTTTGAGTGAGGGTGAGTGAATGAGTGAACCTTGCAAAGCAAATTACGTCACCATCCGTGCCCCTTTCATGCCTAAGATTCCAGCTCATTTCAAATTGTACCACAAAGGAGATTTAACGCTTGCATTATCTGATGTGCGGGAATTTCATGGGTTACACTTTAAGTGAGTGAGTGAGTTTAGTTTTACGCCGCACTCAGCAATATTCCAGCTATATGGCGGTGGTCTGTAAATTATGGAGTCTGGACCAGACAATCCAGTGATCAACAACATGAGCATCAATCTGCACAATTATAAACCGATGACATGTGTCAACCAAGTCAGCGAGCCTGACACCCGATCCCTCTAATCGCCTCTTACGACAAGCATGGGTTACTGAAGATCAATATTCTAACCCGGATCTTCACGGGTTGTTAAACTTTAAGACACATAGAGAGTATATGGTACAATTCTTTTACATCAAATGTTCAGCAATACAAGCAAAAAATAAGAAATAGTTTTTTTGCCATCAGAAACAAATGTTATCAGAAATGTTTGACAATCATCTTCTTGTACTTATATTGCTTCTCACTGTCATCAACCAGGTATAAAAGTATCCATATTACGACATAGTTCAACCAATCACATCGCAGCCCAGGTTCATATAACCAGTACAAATAGCCCACAATATTAAATGCAGAAGCAAAAAAAGATAAATGCCTTAAAGGACAAACAACACCTGTTCAACATCTGGTTGATATTTGTGTTAAATACCATGAAACAAACTGTGGCTGATATTTTTAATTCTGTCCTGGAAACGAAGTCCGTCTTGTTTCCATGGAAATACAAAAATGAGTCGTACACACATACTCAAATACAAGTATACACACATTATACTGCAGAGGTATAAAAAAGGGCCAAATATTCTACTTATGGGAACCTGCAACCACCAAGATTCTAGGATCTGATGTCCTCAAATATGTATGCATCCAGTTGAAAAACATTTTGTAAATTAATCCTATTTCTAAGCCAAAAGACGACAGTAACAATCGGCAAACTACATTGGTCACTTACATGACAAACATGGTGGCGGATCCTGGTGAAGAGCCTCACAAGACCAGAAGACTGCACAATGCAGCTCAACTTGTTGAAGGTATCTCTGTCACACATGCAACATCAACCATGACTGAATGCACTCACACAGTTCACCGTAAACAAATTAACTTGCATTAACTCCTGTCAAACAATGAAGTACAATGTTTTATCATCGATTGATGAAAGAAAAGTCATGCATGAAAACCACTGGGTGTTGACTTCTGTCTGGGATCACTGAAGAAGCAGTTTGAAGTACATGGTAAAAAGTTTTCACTGGCACAAACGCAGACCAAGAAAGAAAACCAGACAAAAACAAACAGAGGAGTGTATCCAGTTGTCATCTACTGAATTAACATAATGATCTCATGACCAAGCAGATAACACTTCATTCCGAAAACTGATCAGTCAACCATCTTTGATACCACTTAGCTGGAGAAACACACCAATCAGCAGAATCGCTGACTGAGAGTCGATTGCTTGGAAGGTTTTTCCACTACATACCATATGGAAAATGCATGTCATTTGTCTCATGTGAGTATGGTTCAAGCTTTATCCTAGAAGTGTTCATGGAAATCCAAACCAATGCCAAATGTTCAATATGTTCAGTTCTCTGTGTTTCACATTTTCTAGAAGCTATGTGGAGGCTTGATGGACTGCCCCACGTTGTGCTGCACACCCTTAAAGCTTCTGTTTACTGTATTCATCACAGAAGTATTGAACAGACCCCATCTTTATCTGGTATGACACGACTGACTTACTTATGATATGTCATGTATTGCGTGTTGGCTTACTTTGGGAGATAAGCCCAATTAATCACCTAACAAGTGAATCATGGCATGTGATTGGATAGCTATGCAATATATTTTGTAGTTTGATGTTCCCATGTATGCTGTCTCCTGACAGGCAAATAGGATGGGTGCACCTTGGGTTGTGTCACCATCAGACGTCATATTGTTGCCTACACTTGTGTGTTAATGATTAAAAAAGAGCTCTGTAAAGCCATTATTAAGTTTGGAAGATTTATTTGTTGACATTCATCAGCTGATACAACTTCAATCCTTATCCTTAAATGTATTTATTTGAAGTGAACTATATTAATGGAGAGACATACTATTGTCGCGACGTCATCCGTCCCCAAAACAATTCTATTCAGGGTTAGGCCGCTTCATTCCCTTGAAATGGAAGTTAAACATGTAAAGTTCGAACTGGACACACAGAACAGGGCTAGATGAGCTGCTGAAGATGGTGCATTCCGTTACACCACACAGAACAGGGCTGCTGAAGATGGTGCTGCTGAAAGATGGTGCATTCCGTACATTCAGTTACACCACACAGAACAGGGCTAGATGAGCTGCTGAAGATGGTGCATTCCGTTACACCACACAGAACAGGGTTAGATGAGCTGCTGAAGATGGTTTAACCCACAGAACAGGGCTAGATGATGCTGAAGACGTTACACCCACAGAACAGGGCTAGATGAGCTGCTGAAGATGGTGCATTCCGTTACACCACACACAGGGCTAGATGAGCTGCTGAAGATGGTGCATTCCGTTACACCACACCACAGAACGAAGGGCTAGATGAGCTGCTGAAGATGGTGCATTCCGTTACACCACACAGAACAGGGCTAGATGAGCTGCTGAAGATGGTGCATTCCGTTACACCACACAGAACAGGGTTAGATGAGCTGCTGAAGATGGTGCATTCCGTTACACCACACAGAACAGGGTTAGATGAGCTGCTGAAGATGGTGCATTCCGTTACACCACACAGAACAGGGCTAGATGAGCTGCTGAAGATGGTGCATTCCGTTACACCACACAGAACAGGGCTAGATGAGCTGCTGAAGATGGTGCATTCCGTTACACCACACAGAACAGGGCTAGATGAGCTGCTGAAGATGGTGCATTCCGTTACACCACACAGAACAGGGCTAGATGAGCTGCTGAAGATGGTGCATTCCGTTACACCACACAGAACAGTGTGAAGCTGTAGGATTTGGGGGTTAAGTGCAGCAATTTCTGGAACTACAAATAAACGCACTGGTTTTTTTAAAAACTTAATAAATACATGACCTTTCTAAAGGTAATACAAGACGAATCTTATGGATAACAACTCCGTTCTTTATTTGTTTACCACAACGTTTCTGGGCTAGTTCTTGCCCCATCTTCAGTTGAATGGTCTAAAGGTCTTGTGATACCGTCCCAACGGGACAATATTTTTAGCAATTAAGTAATTCACCAATAGACAGTTTTGTCTGCCTTACAGCGCTTACGCTCATCACCACGCTACATTGTGCACACATAATGGGGAAAGGGAAGGAACTAGTCTATTTCCTATTTGTAGTTCTGTAACTCTCTGCCTGATTGACAATGAAAAAACACAAGGCCAACCGTTACTGTCAATATGAAGGATCTGACTAGAGAAAGAAACAGTATGCAGTAAAACCCCTACTGAAACAAAGACCCATCTGTCCTATGAATATCAAATGGAAGGTCCTTAAAAGATCACTTGGCTCTAAAGTTGAAGATTGTTGACTTGTTTCTTGTACTTGTTTCTTGTGTAGAGCAGTGTGTCACTGGGTTTTTGACAATACCATGGCTGCTACTGCTCATGTTTGTCTTCATGCAATGTCCTCATGCAGAATTGGCCAAGTACTTCTGATGAACAATTTTGAAATATACATTTTCTGGGAATTCATCTCAAAACTTAGGCTTCTCTACAGGGATGCATCGGTAATGGTGAAGGTTTGGAAAGCAATTTTTTCGTCAACCTGTAATTTTTCTTTTAGTTTGTGTTGGACACCCAGCATTACTGAGACATAAAGTCAGGTGTATACACGTCCGAAACTAAAAAGCAGATGAAAGCAATGACGTGGTTGTCTGTCTTGCAAGGACAAATTAATCATGATAATGTTAAGGATTGAGAATGATTCTGGTCAATTCTACATCAAATAAATGACACTACTTGGAATATTGAGTTGAAGTGCATAACAACACCGAGCCATCCATTATGACATAAGATCAACAGGCAAAAAGACCAGTCGATGTCCAAGTCAAATACAAATTACATAGGCTAAAAAACACATCCTTTTCTGCTATTAGATTTCTTTTATGAAATGATCCAGCAGTTTATTTATCATGCTACTGAATGATGCATCAAGTAGAAACACCATTTTGCAGGCTAGCTAAAAAAGTGATGTCTTGACTTTGCAATGGGCACTTAAGTCCAGAATGTAAAATTGAAGATTCAATAAGGATTGCTTCAACAAATTTGGTGGGATCAGGTCAGGAGATGGTTATGTCACATGACAAGATTCATGCCAACGCTTGCAACATGGGCTGGAACTCTTGACCTGCTAAGATACTGAACTATAAATACTGAGTCCAGTAGTTGACTAAACATGGGCACCTGATATATATTCATAAATAAAGTCACTGGATACCCAAACCTGAAGACTTAGGGCCAAAACGTAAATCTGTGACCTGATTCTACTGTTCTACACTGCCTCCCGCTGGGGTGGCTAATGTGACACAACTGAGGACATGCCACAGAGCATGTCACATTATCACCCTGGAAATACATCCCTTGTCCGTGCAACCTATCCTCTATCTCGGTATTTATGGATATTCTCCTAGGATCACACACAATAGATTGATGGCATCAAAGCATGCAACAGTCAGCCTTAATTACATCACCTCTTGGCTGACAACTAATTCCATAAGATGAACAAGAATAAGAGCCTGTTTCAGGGTTATGTCATGCCTCTGTCGCAGGAAACTTTGTATATGTATAATACAGAAGTGATTATTCAGAATTGTAACAAGCATTGTCACTAAGGTGACATAATCCCCGCCGCAAA